CCTGCATCATCATATGAATATGTATACATATGTGTTCTTTTCCCTTCCCCTTTCTTGTAGAGCTGTAAAAATATCAGGGCATCCATTTTACCCTCAGGGGAGTGTCTCCCACTAACCTTTGGTGGGGTCCCCCTCCAGTACATACTGCCTAATAAACACTGCAGTGAAGTCTTGATTATTTTGCCTTTGTGACCTGCGTTTTGATTCCACAGTTTTATTGTAATTCTCTTCTTATTTTACACCATTATATTTTATTGTTGTAAAGTTGTATTATTGTGAAGTAGGTTACCATACAAATCCTTGAAATAAATATCTGCATATCTCTCATTGTTAGATGTCTGTCTTTTTCTCAATATGGACAGTGCTTCCTTCTATATTCTCAAGTTACAGAATGCGTTCACTCAAGAATTGCATTTGACCCCCATTTGTCTCAGCAGCTAGATAATCTGTAAAAATAAATCTCTTTTGCTGGGATTTTAAAAGTTAACTGTAAGATATGTCTTCAACTGTTTTCATTCTGCTTTTGTTTTCAATATTTTATCAACCTCACTGGGTATGCACCAGAGCAGAATGTAAATGAATAACTTGTGGTAGTTTCTTACTCATTTCACTAAAAATAATCAATTCGTTGGCATGTTTCTTTTCTTATAGGATCAGATCTCTTTTTAGGTGTTCTACTGGCAGCTGATGTCTATTCTTTTTAATAAAAAAAAAGTGGGAGGTTCCACAAAGTATTGCAGTGTTGAGATTCTGATTACTCCATTGACTTACTCCTGTCCCCATTTTTGCATTTTTCCCCAGCTCCCAGGCAGCAAGATACTCGCAGGCGCCACTCCTGTTTAAAGGATTATTTTCCTAAATATGTTCGTATTTTTCCAGTAAGCTGTCCCCAAGAATATTGCTGCCTCCCAACTGGTGACATTTAGACTAAGAAACCACACTTTTAGCTTGAATATCCAAAATAAAGAAAAAGATTCTGATTTGGGGGAGTTGTCTGAAATTGTTTATCAGAAAATAATTCACATTTTATCCTCAAGGAGAGAAAAGCAAGCAATAGGAATTGCTAGCATGATGAAAAGGGTTCAGTAAAATAGGAACTGGCTAAACTTACAGGTCTAAAACTTGGCATTCTGATAGAACAAAACCATTTTCAGTTAGGAGACATTAAAGAGATATTTAGCTAGTTTGAAATTTTTGGAAACAAGGAAACAACATATTAGAAGACAAAACTGATTGTGGTTGTATGTTAGTGATGCCCAGATGTAGTGTTTCGGGCATCATTGGAAGAATAACTTAAGGCATATAGGTTTCATGCTTAGAGATGGTTGCTCAGAAGAGGAAACTGACATGTTATGCTTTGTATCTGTTTTTAAACAAAAAGCCCATATGATACTACGGATGCATTTTTAGAAAATGAAAACATACAATGATTTTCCTTTTTAGAGATGTAATAGCATTTCCCAAAATGACACAAGCTTAAGGGGCTGGAAAAAAAGCATGATTATTGAAGGCTTAATTTATATAAATTGAATTCTTTCATAATTTGAAATGCTATGGAAATCGAGTGAGAGTATTGAAATAAAATTAACATGTAAAGTGATTTTATGTATTCAGCTTATAGCTACTAACTTTGAATTTGAGAAGGAAATCTCATTACTTATCTTGTAGAAGGGATAATATTTAAGTTCTCCATTTGCTGTCCTTGATATAAAGCTTCTACGTGCGAATGATGGTTTTCTGTGGCTATCCAGAGACAAAGATTTTTGAATTGATGGAGATCAATCTCTATCATCTCCATTCTCACCTTTTTTCTCTTGTAGGATAACTGATTTAGGAAATATTAAAAGAAGATTGTATTTATCGACGATCCACAAAGAATTGTCTGTGACCCCTTTGCATGCAAAAATCCCTCTCTTTATGATCAAGCGCAAAATTGTAGGTATATTTCCTTCCTTGTTCAAATTATTACTGTAATGTATGAATCTCTTCTACTTTCTACTGCAATACTTAAATATTTGGTCATTCCTACCAGTAATCCAGCATATCATGCTTACAAGAAATTGTCTTTCCACATAATTCCACATATTTTTTCAGAATTAATTGTACAGCAGTGCACACAATGTAGTGCAAAGTGGATCATCATTAGACACCTCTGTAGTATGAAGATTAAGCAGATTGTTTGAACAAGAGCTCAACCGTGAATTATACTGATAATTTTCAGGGGCTGTTTGTTCTTCCCACTCCTAGCCAATGGAAAAGAACCAAAGCACAATTTCATGCCAAGCATTCTGGTAATGCTGTTATTAATTCTTTATACATAGGCACCTTAACTGCTTGGATTGAATAAAAAGGTGTGATATAAGTTAAATAAATAACATTGAACGTGGTATGCCAAAGATCTTGAGAAATATAAGAAATGATCTCGTACTATTAGACAAGATGGTTACCTCTACAGTTGATATAGACAATTTCATCACTGGCAGTTGTTCCCAGGTAGAAGTAGTGTGTTTCTAAGAATGATTCCAGATTTCTGTCTGATCTTTTATTTTTGTAAGGAAAACAAAAGAGAGTTCTTAGATTCATGTATGTGGGGAAAGAAGCTTCAGATTTAATTTACAGAATAAAAATTTGTACAAACTGCAGAAAATACAGGTAGTTCTCACTTAGTGACCACATTTGGGACCGGCAACTTGGTTGCTAAGCAACACAGTCACTAAGTGAAACCTCATGTGACTGCATTGAGCTTATGACCTCACTTCCGCTGCAGTCATTAAGTGAATTACCACAGGTCATTAAGCGAGACATCACATGACTGTGACTTGTGATTTTACTGCTGGTTTTTCCATTGACTCTGTCGGAAGCCAGTGTGCAAATGGCAATCACATGACAGCGGGATGCTGTGACAGATGTAAACACCTGCTGGTTGCGAAGCACCCGAATCTTGATCACATGACCACGGGGACACTGACAGCCGTAAACGGAAGGTCTGGTCATAAAGTTGCTTTTTCAGCACCATTGTAACTTCGAACAGTCACTAAACAGGGCAGTCATTAAGTGAGGTCTACCTATTATTAGGACTGTGCAGTGCCTTTGAACGAGGTACTTAGTAACGTGCAGAAGCATGTATGTAACACCTCTTTTCAAATAGTTAAGTAGCTTGGGTCATTTGCAAGGCTTGCGCAACTGCTTTCAATGCAGCTCTCAACTTTCATCGTGAAATAGCTGTGCTTCCACGTCCGTGTGTAGATAGCCGAAAACAGCTGCTGAAGCAATCACATGAGCCTTGCAATCGACGCAACACACTTACCCACCGGAAAGAAGTGCTTTGTGAATATTTCAGCACATTGTGGAGCACTTTTTTCAAAAAAATTGCAGTGCCTGATTCAAAATAAAAAATATAGCCATAATTTCTAAACAGTTTCTGTTTGGTGCATTATGTCATTAATTATCATACCCCTTGTGGATGGTATTTGCCCATGTTTTAGGATTTCCTTAAATGCAAATCATATATGAATGTGTGTGTGACATAATCCCCCAGACTATTTACATATGCAGTGTTTTCTTGCAGAGGTAATTTGGGGATGTTGTTTTCATCTTAAAGTAAAAAAGCTTCCAAGAATAAGAATAGACTTTTGTTTTTTAAAAATTGAAATTGGTATGTGTTATGCATCCCTTAGAAATGTTATCAAATTAGATCAACAAGATCTGTAAGTTTTGTTACCTCTTTTCTACAATCTGTTGGAAGTCAGGAATTAATTTAGCAATGTGGGTTTAATTTTTACTGCAAAATTTATTCTGAATTAATTCTACCTTCTAGTACTATATACTACTATACAGTAGTAAACATGTCCCTGTATTTCTCTCAGAACAGTTTCCTTTTTGTACTCAAAAAGCAAAATCCAAAGCAACCCTCTTAATTCTTGCTTTTGAAATATTTTGGTCCCAGGCAGTGAAACCTGTTGAGGTTTAAAACAACAACAATAACAATAATGATCTAGGGAGATACATTTCAGTACTCCTAATAGTTCTGTTTCTAAAAACCAGAGGGAGGGTGAAATGAACAAATAAAATACTCCAAGAAATGTATTGATTTTTGCTATTGGAACCCTTTTTTGTTTCATTAAACTAATAATGAGGGGAAAACATTCTCAGTGGAATAAAACATCCTACAATGTAAATAAGTTCTTTAACCATGTATTTGCCTTTTTAATGGACATTTTACTACCCTAAGATAAATTTGAATGTACCTCTGAAACACATTAAATTGTTTCAGTTATGATCCCTGAAGCTATACTACTGAATGTTATAATGTGTGTTGACTGGCTATAGAAGCCAGCTTCTAAAATATAAAAGCATACTCTGAGTTGGGATTTTCAAAATCTGTGTTGCTGTGACTCCCTAAAATGAATGTACAGTATGTGACCTTTCCATGAATAGAACAAATGAGCTTCTTGTTGGTCCTAGTGAGTGTGCCAGCTATCAGTTTAATATCAAAGGGGTTCCTTATCCCATTGCTTTTCCTCTTTATACAAGCCATGCCAGAGCCCTGTCAGAACTTGGACTCACTGTTGTTTTGTCCAAGCAGTGTGGGACTAAGTTCTGCCAGCAAACCATGTTTGTCTATACAAGCCTTCCTACTCAGTCTGGACAAGGTAGCAGTTTGCAATCAAAGCCAGATAATTTTCAGAATGCTGGCTTACGCAAATAAAGCTGGATCGCCACATGGAGGTGCACAACTCCCATGTCCAACATTCCAGTTTGGGAATGTTGCTGAAGGCTGTGGGTGAAACCATGTCCTGCCAAAAGATTATATAAAATCTATATTAGGCTTTTCCAATTCAGGTGATAGTCTTCTACTTCAGAAGCAGGAAGGAAGAAGAAAAGTAATTATCAACTGCAAAGGACATCATGTACATTTTTCCCTCCCTGTGCACCTTTACACACTCAACTGTTCAGAGACAGATGGAGACATTTATGAGGGATTAAACACAATGTTTGATACTGGCCAAATTATCAGTATATAAACAAGTCAGTACATGTGGGGAGGGTACAAAATGGCTTAGCCAAAGGGCAAAATATCTTTATTATCTTAATATCCCCTACATTAAGATATGAATAATACCTAAAAACTACCTAAAATTAAATGTACCTTAAAACAAATAGTTCCCTTCTTTGATTTCAAAGCAAAGTACAGTTGGATGTTATGGATAGGAAACCTCCAGGAAAAACTAAAGTTATAGGTAAAACTGAGAAATTGAAAAAAAAAATCCCAAAAAGGAGGTACTGGCAAACCACTTCTTCACTGATGTGAAGAAAACTACACAATGTGTTCATGAAGTCACCAAGAGTCAGACTTACCTTGAAGGAGAATTGGCTTTAATTACATCCTGAGAAGAAACCTTACATAGGAAAAAAAGAGAGAGAGTGATGATCTAAGAATTGTCTTGTGTTCATGCACATGTTCATATATTTGATGACTTGCTTGACTTCATCATTTTGACAGAACCTCCATAGTGGAAGAATGCATTCAAACCATCCCTGTTTATAGCCATTGAGAGCACACTGGTGGTACTTCACTTTCTCTGAGTCAAGGACTGAGAAAAATATGAACAATTGCATCCATGTAGCTTTTGGAAACATTTTAGTGTCATGGCATAAACTGTCACCAAGTCCTTCAGGCCCAGTCTGTTATTTATAAACAATAGAAAAAATGGACCCTTCCAGTCAACCAAATGGGGTGTCAGCACAGCACATGAATAAGAACTATGGGCACACAGAGGTTTAAAGTAATCTGGGAAACTGCCTTGGGGATTACTATTAATAAACCCAAATGGTCCCTTAAAACCTCACTGGAGGAGTTAGCAAAGCAATTATTAAAATAGCATTTCACTGACATTGAATGTCTATATTATTATGTAACCTATAGCTTTACATCCATAATTAGCATTACTTTGCATAGCAGGACAGGTGACATAGAAATATTTGGAATAAATGAATGTTAGGTATCTTAATTGACATGCATAACTTGGTTCTGTTTAAGAACCTGATGATAAACCATCTCAGAATGGCCTTGTAATAGTCAGCCACAGGGAAATGAGCTCAGCTTTCACCAAACATAATCAGTGTCAGAATAATTAGTGTTTTTTTAACTTACCTGAAAATCTGATACATCAACCTTAAATTAAATTACTTATTTAATTAGATGCCAGTGAGTTGAGTTTAAACACTTTTTGACTATATAGTTCAATCTGCACTATGTTGACCTGTCTTTAATAAGTGTTCTAACTTGGTCTATAATAACTCGTAGTTCATGATTTGATTTGATTATTTCCATTTGTAAAGGGTTTCAGTGTAATATCTCCATTAAAAATGTCAGCTTTCAGTTGTTCAGAAAATTTTGAGAGACAGTTTTCAAAATTGTAAATCATCTTTTTTTTTCTTGCATAATATCAAATACATTAACTCTATGCCTTTGGGCTGTTTAATCTCAGAGCCAGACATGACTGGAGTGGCATATATTCCTCGTGAGATGGGTGGTGTCTAAATTCGAAATATAAATAAATAAATAAAATATAAGCATAGCAAATAAATGCAATTGGTTTTTAATTGTGTGTTTTATTGAAAATTAATTTTAAAAATATATCTCTAATTTTTTTTTCCTCAGTGGTGCAATTTGTGCATTGATTTGGTGGCGTTCACCAGTGAGATATTCAAAGGCACTGTTTTTCAGTCCTTGGATGGCATTATTGTTTCAGCCAACTGTAAACTGCGAAAAATCTTCACGCTGAAGTCAAACCCACTGAATCCTGCAGATGATGATGGTATGTTCCAGCTTCCTGGAATTCTATTTGGCTAAGATGTGTTTCATGATTCCGGACTTATCTTTCAGATCTCTGTGATGCATTATCAAAAGGTTTAGATGATTTCTTGGCAATTAATGGATGCATGAGTCATACTATGCATGTTTCTGGCTCGTGGATAGTCAGTGACCTTTTCTAAGTGTGGTTACAAATGTGGTTCAGCATTTACATTTTTATAAAGAAGCACTTTTATTAAAACTGCATTGAAGATACTGTTTCAACTTTAAATTAGCATACAAACTGCTAATAATCTACCTTCAGGTAAGTGTTTCATTAAACACCTTGAAAGAAAGCTTGTTATTCAATTATCAAAGGGTTTTTCTACTGAGATATGTCATTTTCTCAAGGTGGCTTCTAAAATGAAACTGCAGAGACTACCCATGTAAAATCTGGCCATTATGGAAATTTGACTTTTGAAGGAGGAAAAGAGAGTTGATGATAAACTGCACATTAAGTCTCTTCCTAATAAAGTGTATTCATGAATTCCTATTATTCATAAGCTACATATTTTATTTGAACTGTACACCATCTCCTAGACTAAACAATAGAAAACATTTTTTCACCCTTCAGCTCTGCTTATCAGAATTTGGGTTGCATATCATCCCTCTGATGCTTTCCTACTTCATTGTCTTCTGTCCAAACTAGATACTTCAGCCTTCAACTGTACTCTACAAAAGGAAGGAGTAAAAGGTGCTGGGAAACAATAAATAAAAAGCTTCTTTTATTTTTGTTATATAACGTGAACTTTTCCTCTAGATTGCGGTTTGTCTGAGTCTCCTTGCTTTGCTGCTTTTATCCTTTTTTATGTTGTCTTGTTTGGTTCATCCAAAGCTATTTGTGATTGCTCCCTGTTTATCGCACAGTATTCTGGACTGCACAAGTTCATTTTTGGGGAAAAGCCAGATGAGGCTAGATTTTGGGGCACAGTTTTGATCCCCCCCAACTTACTGATCCTGTAACTTTCCCTCCTTGGATGTATCATCCCAGTAGATCACTTGTCCTCAAAAGTTTTACAGACTTTCAACTATTCTACTTCTGTTATTGGTCCTGTTTGTGGAAATGGAACACACAAGAGAACGTGAACACGGTAGAGGTTTGATTTGAGGTTGGCAAACTAAACTGTTTAAAAAAAAAATTAGTTTTCTTAGTCCTGCTCTGAAATGGAGATCACAATGAACTGTTGCTGATGTAATGGTGAAATTCTGAATGTTCCTCCAAACCCTAAATACTGTCTCCACCATCTACTTCTGCCTTTCTGTGTCAGAACTGAGAGCAGCTATAGATTACCAGCAACAAGAAACGAGCAATAGGCAAACTATGGTAGTCTAGATATTGAACCATGATTCCCAAAATCCTTGGGAAGCATAGACTTTGGTGAAGGATGTTGGGAGTTGTAGTTCAGCAACATCTGGAATGTTATACGTTGTTTATCCTGAGATAATTGTGTTTCATAGATGCCTAATATGCCATTCTCAGGCAGAGACTCCAGGAGCTGAAGTTCAAGGCATTTGGGGGTTCATAACCTTTAGGGCACACTCTAAGTAACAGTGAGGGATGTGAGAAGACCTTCAGTCCTCAGATTTTCCATGTTGCTGCTTCACCAAACACTTCCCAGCAGATAAATAGGAAAAGATGGTGGATCAGTCAAGATGTCTAGCTCAGATTATTATTTAAGTTGAAGAAAATCTTGGCAGGGATATGGTGCTTGGTTTAGGATATGACCAAATGTTAAATCATAAAGTTGGAAGGAGCCATTTAGTCCATCTTTTCCTCTCTGCTCACTGCAGGAATCCAAATTAAAGCATCCCTGAAACATATCTGTTCAACTCCTGCTTGACTACATCCAGTAAAATGGAGTCTGCTTCCTGCCTTGGTAATTGGTTTCATTGATGAAATATTGTTACCATTAGGAAGTTTTTCTTAATATTCTGTTGGCATTTGCCTTCCTATAACATAAAGCTGTTTTTTTTTTTCATATCTGTAGTCTAGGACAGTAAAGAACGAATCCTGGCCTCCATCTGTTCAACACCTCTTCAAATACTTGAAAAATCATCTTTTCTCAAGATTCTTTTTCCAAAAGTAAAGTTGCCCTGTTTTCTCTGGGCTTAGTTTCCAGTCCACTGTCATCCTCATTACCTTTTTTGTACGCGTTCCATTTTGGCAGAATCCTTTCTAAAACGTTAGATCAGATCTTGGAGAACAGAGAAGAACATTCACTTTCTGCAATGCAGAAACTCTAATTTTATTAATGAAGCCCTAAAGTGCATGTGTTGGGTTGTTGTTTTTTTTGGTAGGCTTATTCTACCGCTGATGTATATTCTGGTAACGTTCAACTACAAGGATCCTCCATTTCAAAATGTTGGTAATAACATTGGTTTAAACACATAAACACTTTGACAGTGAAGAATTCTCCCATTCTTTGAGGCAGTGGTGAGTGGTCTCTGGAAGGAAGGAACAGTTGGAAAACTGTTTTGAGGTTTTGTTAGCTTAGTTTCACAAATGTTATGGAATGCAGTTCTGCTTGGCCACAGCTCACATGCTGCAGATATTCATGTAGTTTATCAGAGAAGAAGGATAAACCAATGGAGGCGAATATGTGTAGCTCAGGGTTGAACTGTGGAGTCCTTGGGGTTCTCTGAGCTTGGTTCTTTTGCTGCAAATGTTTCCAAGAATTCCCTTGCATTTTTGGATTTAGCTTGGTCTAAAATGCTGACAGTTTCC